ATATATATATATGCGCCCTGGCTTGTGTGTGGAGGTTACAGGAAAACTTGTGAGAGTGAGTTCTTTCCTGCTACCATCTGGGACCTAGGAATCAAACTTAGGTTGTCATTCTTGGTGGCAAGTGCTCTTACCCTCTGGATCCATCTTGAGGGCCATGATCCTCTTGTTTCTACCTCCCAAGGGTGAAGCTTTCCCACAGGGCCTGACAAGACAAGGGTTGAGTAGTATGCCAGCATCAGGCAGGCTCCCTGGATGTTCAGGGCTCCTCTGGTTTTCTCCTTCTGACTAGTCTAGATGAATGGAGGCTCCCCAAACTCCAGGACAAGGGTGTCTCACACAGCCCACCTAGCTCTCTGGTAGCGGAAGCCCCTAGACATGTCAGCCAGATTCACTATCTCTGCTGTCAGGTGGCATGAGGGAGACACTGGGCCTCAAGGTTATAGTTACATTTATCTATAAATGATAACACCTACTTTACATTCCTGTGGTGAGGACCAGATATAGAATGGAAGGTCCTAATCCTGTTTTAAAATGGGCAAAAGGCCAAAATCCCTTAGGGGGAAAATCTGCCTCATCCTAGGGAAAGATTTGGCAAGATTACCCATAGTGGTGACTATGGTGGCAAGGAAGGAGTCTTTGGACCATACTTTTTGGGTTTGGAGATGAAGCTCAATTGGTAGAGTGTTTGCCTGGTGTGCCTAGTTCTAACCCCAGCATAGAGGCACAAGCCTGTATTCACAGCACTCAGGAGGGGTGAGAAGCAGGAAGATCAGAAATTCAAGATTGCAGGGTATGGTGGTGCACACCTTTATTCCCAGCATGACGCAAGCAAAGGAAAGCCGATCTCAGTGTGAGGCCAGCCTGGTCCACATAGTGAGTTCCAGGCCTGCCAAGGCTACATACTGAGACTCTGTTTTTGTTTTGCTTTGTTTTTTCTTTTTTTAAAAAAAAGATAATGTAGGGGCTGGAGAGATGGCTCAGCGGGTTAAGAGTATGTACTGCTCTTAAGAGTTAAGAACACTGGCTGTTCTTGCAGAAGACCAGGGTTTGAATCCCAGTACCCACATGGCAGCTAACAACTGTCCGTAACTCCAGTTCCAAGGGATCCGACAGCCTCTTCTGTCCTCCGCTGGCATTGCATGACACAGGTGTACTTACCTACATGCAGGCAATAAACGCATACACATAAAATAAAAATAATATTTTTAAAAAGGTAATGTCAAAAAAAAAAAGGTAATGTCTAACAGAGACTCCAATCTATATACCTTTCGGTCTTATCTTCTTATTGATCTCACACTTGAAGGCGAGTTACTTAGGAGCAAGGAACCTTTTGTCCACAGGTTCTGTTCCAGTAAGGAACACAGAATCCACTAAAGACAAACACTAGTATGTCTACTGAGCCATTACTCTCCAGTCCATCTCCTCCCCACATTTTAAGACAGGGTTTCACTGTAGTGCAGACTGGTCTGGAACTATGTAGCCCAGGCTGGCCTCCAGTCTACTGTGATTTTCCTGTCTTAACCTGAGATTACAGACATGAGCCTTCCTTCCCTTTCCTGGTTTCCCCAGGTTGGTTTTCCCCAGGTTGGTTTCTGCTCCTCTGTTCTAGAAGCTCTGGGAGGTCATGATCTTCTCTCTAGGACTGGAGTGGCTGTGTACCCAAGGCAGTGGCTGAAAACCAACAACTGTTCCTGTCTGATTCCGTAATTAAGGGAGCCAGGCAGCCAGCCCAAACATTTCTCAATCGCTGTGTCACAAGCCAAGTTCTACTCACTCCTGGAGTTGGATCTGGCCAAGATACAGTCGGGTACATCAGAATGAAGATGCCCCAGGCTGGCAGCCAAGCCTATGTGGACAGAGGTTCTCTTCACAGCCTTTGTCCAGACTCAATGTAGTGTGGCAGAGCTGGGCTGCTTCCGCCCACACCTTGCAAATTAGGAAAATGTTTGTCCTCTGTGGAATTTTACAAAAGAGGAAACTAACCTTATGCCTTTAAGTCCTGCACCGGGGTGATGGAGGCAGGACCAGTAGGAGGTCAAGGTCATCCTCAGCTAGGTGGACAAAGCCAGGCTGGGCTACATGAAACCCTATCTCAAAACAACAAAATGTGCTCCCTGGGTGCTTGTCCAGGCAGCTGACATGTCACTTTAGTGACCTTGACTTTGTAAGTGATGAAGCCAAGTAGAAAGTTTACATGAAGCCATGCAGAGTTTCCGCTGTTACTCCAAACAATTAACATACAAAAAAGTGCATAGCAGAGCCACAAGACGGGTCAGTGGGATGGCTCAGCTGTTATGTGGCTTGCTGCACAAGCCTGATGACCTAAGTTCAATCCCCAAAAAGAATCAACTCCTGAAAATTGTTCTCTGATGCTCACAGCAACACTGTGGCACACAGGTGCCCCAAGTCTCTCAGATACATCACACAAACACCATAATAATAAATGGGAGTTACAAGGCCAGCCAGAGCTACACAGTAAGACCCTGTCTCAAAAACAATTAAATGTAAATAAATAAAATTAAAACAGAAAGCGCATAGTTGGACTGGGGCTGTTGCTCAGTGGTAGAGCATTTGCCTAGCAAGTGTGAGGTCTTAGGTTCAATCCCCAATGCCAAAAAAGAAAAAAGAAAAAAAAAGTATAGTACCGTTGAATTTACAAGATAGAAGGACAGAAGAGAGTAATGGATGGAGGATGTAATTTCCTGTATTTGAGTGATTTGTTCTTTTGTGTGAGCTAGGGTCTCAAAGGCAATGGGGGGGTTTGGTGGGGGGGTGAGGGGAGGGGTTGGTGGGGCGGTGACCTTGAACTCCCGATTACCCCCTCCTCCTCCCAAATCCTAAGATTACCAGCATGTTTCACCATAACTGGCCCCTTTTGGCTTTTAAAATATATTAATGTCAGGCTGGAGTATAACTTACTTTCCTAGCACATGCAAGGCCCTGGGTTTGATCCCCAGTAGTGCACGCACAGAGTAAATGTATTAACTTATAAAAAAAAATTTTTTTTTTAGATAGGTTCTAACAATGTAGACCAGGCTGGCCTAGAATTCACTATGTAGACCAGGCTGGCCTGAACTCACAGAGGTCCACCTGTCTCTGCCTTTCAAGTGCGCATACCTTTAATCCCAGCACTCGGGAATCAGAGGCAGGTAGATCTCTGTGAGTTCAAGGCCAGCCTGGTCTACATAGTGAGTTCCAGGACAGCTGGGGCTAGAGGGAGACCCTGTCTCAAAAAGACCAAATGAAAAAAAAAGGTGCGTGCCACCACACCCAGCTTCACATAAGTTTTAAAAGTTAGTTTGGGGGACAGGGATTTTGTCAGTGATACAGCATGTATTTAGCATACACGAGGCCCTGGGTTCAATCTACAGGGCCAAGAAAAAGAATGAGTTTTCAGACATTCATTATTTACTTAGCATATGCTGGCCACCAGGGTAGATACTAGTTGGAGTTGAGTGTGGGAAAACTGGAGACAGATAATTAAAAAGATAACACCAATGCAAGGGTAGAGGTCAGCAATAGGAGCCTGGATAGAGGCCACTCGTGTAGCTTCAAGGGAAAAGGAAAACCAGGCAAGTTTTCCTTCAAAAAGTACTTTCACCAGATGTGGTAGTGTACATCTTTACTCCCAGGAGAGGCAGGTGGATCTTTGTGAGTTTGAAGCTAAGCTGGTCTACTACATATGGCGCTCCAGGCCAGCCAGGGCTACATAGTGAGATCCTGTCTCAAACAAATAAAGAAATAAGTTATTGTAAAGTGTTTTCTGGGCCAAATCTTAAAGAGGGAGCCTAAGATCAATCAAATAGCTCCCGCTGATTTCTGTGGTTTACCCCTTCTTAAAAGCTGAGCTACAAAGTGAGTCAGTCCACAGAAAAAAGCCTGCTGAGGGGGTCGAAGGGATCGTAAAACCTTCAACTATTCTCCCCCAATTCCTGGGCTGTGGGAAGAAGGCACAGCCATGGGGAAAAGCTTACATTCTGCCTCCTCCCATTCTGCACTTTCCCCCATTTACTCAAGCACACCATAGAACCCAACTTCCCCTGTGTAAGTGTAAAATCAAGGCACTGACAGTGTGGAAAGTGCTTGGGAGAGAGAGGTCCAGGCACCAAGTGCTTCATAAATAAGAAAGTCAACTCAAGCCCAGGGGAGACGCAAAGCCTGGGGAACCCTCAGGTCCGGGGAGGAAGGCCTTGAACTTCCTACAGGATAAAACGTTAGCATAAATGGGAACCTACCGCCAGCAGAGGTGAGACCCACACCTTGAAAGACAGCGCCTGCCCTGCCGGAGACCCCAGCTGGCAAGAGCCCTCTTCGCTTTCTGTGCCTCGATCTCCCCAACAGCAAAACCCCAGTAAGAATGGTTGTGGTTCTGCCAATTCCCCCACGCAGGAGATCCGCAGGGGAGAATGAAGAACACTTTGAGGATGTTGCGCAAATCACCCAGGCGTGGACAGCAGGTGGCCTCCCGCAGCACGTCACCCAGGCGCAGACAGGTGCCGGCGGGCGCGGGGCGCGCTCCTAGCCGGGGCTGGTGCCCAGAAGCGGCCTCCCTGCGGGCAGTGCGCAACCTGGACATGCGATCGCCCGCCCGCCGCCCTGCCCGCGGTGTCCCGGTGCCCACGCCGAGGCTCCGGGCGTGCAGCCATGGGCCGCCGGGGACAGGGGCTTGCTAGAGGTGAAGCCCACGCCACCCGACCACCCGCCACTGCTCACCAGTTCCCGGAGCCCACGATGCACACTTTCATGGGAGCCGCTGCCATGGCTAAGCCGGAACACTCCTGCTCACTCGATGCCTCCCAGGCCGGCTGTCTGGCCTGCACAAGCTCGGCTTAGAGCTGTAGCTCGCGGCGCCCCCGCCCTGCCCCTCCCTCCACCAATAGCCACCGCCAGCCCACGCCACCCGACCACCCGCCACTGCTCACCAGTTCCCGGAGCCCACGATGCACACTTTCATGGGAGCCGCTGCCATGGCTAAGCCGGAACACTCCTGCTCACTCGATGCCTCCCAGGCCGGCTGTCTGGCCTGCACAAGCTCGGCTTAGAGCTGTAGCTCGCGGCGACCCCGCCCTGCCCCTCCCTCCCCCAATAGCCACCGCCACCCCGCCCCGGTGCCTGAGGACGCAGCTGACAGCCCCGAGGCCCCGCCCCGCCACTCCCAAGAACCACTGCGCACGCCTGGGCCTGGCTGGTGGCCTGGCCTTGCTGGTGTCGCCCCACCCTTGCCCGAGGTATGTCGGGATGTGTAGTCCACATCCCTGCAGGCTCCTGGGCCAAGGCTCCAGACACATGAGGGTGCAGAGGTCATTACGCAAAGACTCCTGCCCCTAGCTCATGCTGCCTTGCACTGCCCGGGACAGATCAGGCGTGACCCGGCAAGCAGAGGTGTCACCCACTCCCTGTGCCAAGAGAGATGTCGCTGCCCTGGATCCCTGAGGCTAAGAGGTTGAGAAGTCACCCAGACCAGGGCTAGGATCCGCACCAGCTTTAACAGCAGCTGCCAAATTTGTATAAATGGGACAAAGCCAGGCACCCATCGATTTAGTGAGCTTGGAGCTTCTGAGGCCCTTGGCCTGACAGTATTGCACTTCAGGGCTGGAGATGTAGCTCAGTTGGTTAAGGGCTTACCTATCTTGCAAGAAGCTGTGGGTTCAGTTCCCAGTGCCAGAGGCCTGTAATCCTACCACTTGGGAGGTGGCAGAAGGAGGATCTGAGGTCCAGGATGATCCTGGGCCACATAAATAGTTGAAAGGGACTAAGATATTAGAGAGCCAGTCACAAACAAACAAAATCCCTGCATTTCGGGATTGAAAACTTGTCTATCCAGAGTCAAAGCAGAAACTTGAACTTGGTGGGTTGTGTGGTGGTGGGATCCCCCTCACTCCCTCACAGGACAGGACTTGCCTCTTTCTTCTCCTTGTTTCCCTTAATGTGATTAGTTTGTGTTTGTGTTTTGAAGGCTACATTTCTCTTCTTCCTGACAAAACATCATTTCAAGCTGAACACCAGTCTCTGTAATAGATGCTGTCAATGCCAGACAAGGTCATTTAAACCAGAGTTTTTCATCTCCAGTCGTTCATAAAACGTGGCATACCTATTATCCCAGCACAGGGAGGTGGAGGCAGGAGGATCAGAAGTTCCAGGCCACATAGTAAGTTTAAGACCAGCCTAGGCTACAAGAGACTTTGTCTCAAAACAAAGGCAGAAACAGTGAGCTGGGTGTGGTGGCTGAGACAGGGGGATCTCTGGGAGTTCAAGATCTGGTCTACATAGGGAGTTCCAGACCACCAGGACTACATAGTGAGACCCTGTCAACAAAACAAAACAAAACAAAACAGAAAACCAAACCAGGGACTGGCGAGACCACTCAGTGGTTAAGATTGCTGACTGCTCTTACAGAGGACCTGGGTTTGGTTCTTAGCACCCACATGGTGGCTAATAACTGCCCATAACTTCAGTTCCAGGGGATCTGACGTCCTTCTCTGGCCTCTGAGGGCACTGCACACATGGGTGCACTTACCCAGAAGTAGGCAAAATACTCATATACATAAAAATAAATAAATAAAACATAACAGAACAAAACAAAAAACAGAAACAGTGTGATGGCTCAGCCAGTAAAAGCACTCCTGTCCAAGCCTGACAACCTGAGTATGATTCCCAAAACCCATGGTGCAAGCAGAGAACCAATTCCCAAAAGTTGTCCTCTGACCTCCATTTGTGTGCTCTCATACACACACAAATAGTAATAATAAATAAAATAAGTTTAATTTAAAAATAGAAAGTTGGATGTGGTGGTCCATGCCTTTATTCCACCCTGTAGGAGGCAGAAGCAGGCAGATCTCTGTGAGTTTCAGATCAGCCTGGTCTGCATAGAGAGTTTCAGGCCAGCCAGGACTATGTAGTGAGATTCTGTCTCAAAAGATTTGTATTTAATTTAATTATTTATTTAATTAATTATTTAGTTATTTAATTTTTTTGAGACATGGCATCCCTGTAGCCCCAGCTGGCCTGGAACTCACTATGTAGACCATGCTGGCTTTGAACTCACAGAGCTCCACCTGCCCCTGCCTCCCGAATGCTGGGATTAAAGGTGTGCACCACCATGCCTGGCACACACAAAAAATTTTTTTTATTTTAAAAATACTTTTATTTTTGTGTATGCGTATATTGCCTGTGTGTGTATAAGTGCACCACATGCATGCAATGCCAACAGAGGTCAGAAGTGGGTGTGGGATCCCCTGGAACTGGAGTTATAGACAGTTATTTGCCACCATGTGGGTGCTGGGAATTGAACCCAGGTCCTCTCATATAGCAGTCAGTGCTCTTAACTGCTGAGCCATCTCTCTAGTCCCTCAAAACTTTAAATTAATTAAAAGAAAAACAAAAGGAATAGAGGACTAGACCTGAGATTCCCAAACTGCGCCACATTAGTCACTGGCGCTTTAGCTGAACTATGTGCCCAGGCAAAAAAATCAGTTATATCAGGGTCTCTATGGGTAAGTGGGATTCAGGCATCAAAAGTTTTTAAAGTTATTGGTTGTGGAGGCATACACCTTTAGTCCCAGCACTCAGGAGGCAGAAGCAGGCAGGTCTCTATGATATAAGGCCAGTCTGGTCTGCATAGTGAGTTCCAAATTAGCTAGGGCTACAGGGAGACCCTGTCTCAAAAAAAAAAAAAAAAAGTCTTAAAGTTCAAACTATGATTACATGTGGGGCATAGTGGCAGGATGCACAGACATTTATCCTTGGCTACATAATGAGTGCCAGGCCAGCCTGGGATACTATTTCCTTTCCCCCAAAAGTAGCTCAAGTCACAGACATTTATCCTTGGCTACATAATGAGTGCCAGGCCAGCCTGGGATACTTGACACCCTATTTCCTTTCCCCCAAAAGTAGCTCAAGTGGTTGAGAAAGGGGCAGTGTCAATCATCTCACCAAAGGAAGCACAGTTGCTTCAAGAAGGGAGGGTTTCCAGGGAGCTGGAGAATGGTCAAAAAATAAGAGCTGAAGTTAAGAGGGAGCCTGCTGTAGAGCCCCCATAGACAGGGGCTACAGGTAGCACACTGCACAACAGTGGGCCCCAAGCATATTGTAGGAAACTAATTGGTGTGCCTAAGGTGACTGCTTTCTACTAGGTAGAAACACGTATCATGGAAAAGAAATGTTTTCCAGGTCCATGGGAAAGCACCGTGTGGGCTAGCCTCAGCCCTGTGTGGGGCCGCTCTGGAGAGAGCAGGTCAATTTCAATTTGAATGCAGGAGTGGGACATGAGCTCAGCTTCTAGTGGGTGTAGATATAAACAGAAGGCAACAAAGTGGAGTGTGGCTGTTGGGATCAGCCTTACTGGTTGTGAGCACCAAGGCCTTTGTGTATGCAGACAAGGCCAGAGCTGTACCACTTAGCTACATACCCATCCCCTTTCTTGAGACATCAGCTTGATAAGTTAGCTATCTAGGCTGTGTTTAAACCTGGTATCTAGCCCACCCTGGCCTGAAATTCATGAACCTTCTGTCTCCACCTCCTAAGTGCTAGGGTTACAGGCACGCACCATGATGTCAGACTCCAGCCCACTTTAAAATATATTTTTTAATTTTTTGGTCTTTGTATTCGTGTGTGTGTGAAGTACATGCATGTGTATGCCGCTGTGTGTGTGTGTGTGTGTGTGTGTGTGTGTGTGTGTGTATGTAAAGGCCAGAGGTGATCACTGGTGTCTTCCTTTAACACAGGGTCTCTTTGTAACCCCAGCTGGTGTGGAACTCACTATGTAGACCAGGATGGCCTTGAATTCACAGAGATCCACCTGCCTCTGTGTCTGCCTCCGGAGTGCTAGGTTTAAAGGGGTCTGCTACTATCTCTAATTTTTAAAAATGATTTCTTTGTTTTTATTTTATGTGTATGAATGTTTGCCTACATGTATGTATGTGGAACTGGAATTATAGACTGTTGTAAGCCGCCATGTCAGTGCTGGAAACTGGTGCTCTATAAAAGCAGAAAATACTAGTAACCTCTGAGCCATCTCTCCAGCCCCTCTACTTAATTATTTTTTGGTCTCTTTTGAGACAGGGTCTCCCTGCAGCCTCAGCTGGCCTGGAACTCACTATGTGTACCAGACTAGCCTTGAACTCACAGAGATCTGCCTGCCTCTGCCTCCAAGTGCTGGGATCAGAGGCAAATGCCACCATGCCTGGTCATCTACTTAATCACCCCAAACAGGTGGCTATAGTTCTCTAAATAAGTCATGCCATTGACTTCTGTGCATCCCACAGCCCCAAATGATCCCACTGTCCCTTTGCTGAGCCAACTCCTACTCACAGTTCATTGCCACAAGGATCCTTTGCTCTTCTCTCACTTCACCCTTGTACCCATTACCAAAGCCTGAATCAGCTTACCTCTTTGCTTTCAGAGTGCCAACCCACACCTGTGTATTGCTTAATGGTCTACCACTTTCCTATTGCTCCTCTCTCTCTCTCTCTCTCTCTCTCTTTCTCTCTCTCTCTCTCTCTCGTCTTTTTGAGACAGGGTCTCCCTGTAGTGGGGCTGGCCTGGAACATACTATGTAGACCAGGCTGGCCTTGAACTCAGAGATCCTCCAGAGATCCAGAGTCCCAAGTGCTAGGACTAAAGGCATGCACCACCATGCCCAGCTCATATTTTATTTATTTTTATTTATGTGTATGAGTGGTTTGCCTATATGTATGTAAGTGTACCATGTGTGTGCAATGCTCCCAGAGGCCAGAAGAGGGCATTGGTTCCTCTGGAATCAGCCGATACGCCTTTGCGACGGCCCACATCCATGGAGAAATTTACAGAAGACGAGGTCTCTTGACCTCTGAAGGAAAAGAAA